ACATGTCCTGCTGTCCTCACATATGTCCTGCTGTTCTCATACATTTCCTGTTGTCCTCAAACATTTCATTTTGTCCTCACATGTCCTGCTGTCCTCAAACATCTCCTACTGTCATCAAACATCTTCTGTCCTCAAACATGTCCTACTGTCACCAAACATGTCCTGTTGTCCTCAAACATGTCCTACTGTCATCAAACATGTCCTGCTGTCCTCAAACATGTCCTACTGTCATCAAACATGTCCTGCTGTCCTCAAACATGTCCTGCTGCCCTCAAACATGTCCTGCTGTCCTCAAACATGTCCTACTGTCACCAAACATGTCCTGTTGTCCTCAAACATGTCCTACTGTCATCAAACATGTCCTGCTGTCCTCAAACATGTCCTGCTGTCCTCAAACATGTCCTGCTGTCCTCAAACATGTCCTACTGTCCTCAAACATGTCCTGCTGTCCTCAAACATGTCCTACTGTCCTCAAACATGTCCTACTGTCGTCAAACATGTCCTGCTGTCCTCAAACATGTCCTACTGTCCTCAAACATGTCCTACTGTCCTTAAACGTAATTTCGCACTCACGTCAGGCTGTCGTCATAAATATCCAGTTGTCCTGTCCTCCTACATGTCCAGCTATCCTCACACATCTCCTGTTTTCCTGTCCTCATACACGTCCTGTACCTCCATCCATCTGTCTGTCCATTGTCTTTCCTCACTTTGTCCTTTCAGGCTCACTGGTACCCATGTCCAGCAGTCACTGTGCGAAGGGGCAGGGGACACCTGAGCAGGTTGCATGTCCATCATAGGACCACACAGAGACAAAGAGACAAACAACCATTGACTCTCTCACTCTGCCACTGCAGATGTCCTCCAGCACCACAGCTCCTGTCTCTTGTATTCACGTTTATCATATGTTGAAGGAATGCAGATCACCAGCTGCCATTAATCCAAACATTTAGACTGAAATCACTTTAAGATGACAAGAAACATGTGGCTGTTTTGGACAAACCTTATGAGATCTCACAGGATGTGTTGAGGATGACTCTCAGCTACTACCACTTTAAATAGTTGCTCTATGTCAGTAAATTTCTTCAAGTTAAAACCATTTTTGTGTTGGCCAGGTTCAAACATCTGAGGGGCCATCTTAAACTGGATTCAATCCAAACAATTAATTGTAGAGTTACATCCAATAATAATTTTTCGAGAATTTTATTAAATTTTAACCATTGTTGTACAAGATATTTTGCTAACAGACAAGAGGGATTAACACCAACAATCAATGCCAAAGTTTTAAACAAAAACCCTCTGACTTGATCTTTTAATGCTCAGATGATGTGTTGAGCTACAGCCACAAACAGTTAGGAAGTTGTTGATGGGATATTTTGCTAATAGGCCTGTGAAGGGGAGCCAGGTGAACTGCAGCTTGACTCAATCAGAGGGGCTTTGTTTTGAGCCACATATAATTATTCTGAACACTTCTCAACTGCGGACACGAACACATTCAGATTCTACAGGTTTTTCCTCTCGGCTGGAAATATCAATAGTATCACAGTTTTAGTCGTTATTTGATGGAGCTTTTTATGTTGGTTTAATGATTCAAAGTGAATATTTGATAAAACTAAAACACACACACAGTGATTTTTTTCACAAGCCTATCCTTGCAAGTGCATTATTAATATGAGTTACAGGAGCTGGAGTGTGAAAAGTGACAGTTTCTGTGTGCATTTTTTTTAGTTTTTTTTTTATTTTTTATTTTTTTGTTGCCAGAGTGGAAGTGAAAACTGTACACTGATTGTTCCGCAGCAGGAGACACAAGGAGATTCCTGTCAGAGACACTTCTTTTTACCATTCTTGTATTGAAAATCCATCAAAATCAAAGACGCTGCTCCTCTGTCAGAGCTGCCTTTTGTTGCAGTCTAGAAGTCCCATCTGTGCTCTTGCTTTTCTTTGTTGTCTTTTTGTTTATGAGGCTCGGTGAGACACTCCTCYGCAGCACATGTTTCCTTCTCCTTCTGCCTGTCTCGGATGATCTCCACCAGCCGCTGAAACTTCTGGTTTAGCTCCTCCATCCCGCCCCCTGACGCCTGCGGCGGCCTCTCGTCTCCCTTCTCCCCGTCGCTCTCCAGCGAGCTCAGCGACTCGGCCCTGGAGTCGCAGCCCTCGAACTGGTAAGTCTGCAGCGAGTCGTAGGGCGGCTGCGAGAGGTCGGAGGTGACCCGGTCCAGTCGTATGTTAAGGAGCTCCTCCATTCGGAGCGGTTGGGGGTTCGAGGCTTCTGTTGTTCTGGGCTTCAACCCGGAAGCGTTGTTGTTGCCAAACGCACCCCCAGGTAAGGTCAAGGTCGGGTCTTCCCTCTGGAGGCCGCCTGCGTTCAGTAGCTGCGCGCCGGCTGAGTACAGCCCGCTGCCACCGGTCCCGTTCAAACACGCCCCCATCCCGGCCGTGTTCAGCGAGCCCACGATGCTGTACGTGTCTAACTTCCTGTAGGCAGCAGAGTTCACCCAGCCCGCCTGGCTGCCATTTGAGTAGTTCTGCTCTGAAATGGAGGGGATGGAGGAATCAGTGTCAGTGTCATCCACCATGCAGCTGGTGGTCCCCGTGCTGGTCTGAGTCTGGGATGACCCCGGCCGACCCTCTGCTGGGTTTGATGAGAAGCTGGTGTGACTCTGGCAGGAAGACTCATAGGTCAGATCTGCAGCCATGTTGGCTGCTGTCGACTCCGCTTCAGCCTGGAGAAGAAAATTAGAGCAAAAAGACACAAAATGATGAGTGAACCRAATAAAAGTGAGGAAAAAATCTAAACCACTCACTCAGAGAAGCCCTCAGGGAGTGARTTTGGGATCAGTCAGAGCTACTACTCAGCTTTAGCTCAGTATCTGTAACATTAAYTGTTATTGCCATTYTAGTTTTTGCTAACTTTGATTAGCTGTGGCAGCCATCTTTAACTTGATATCTTGTAAACTTAATCAGTTGCAGATGTTCATTTAAGGATTATTTTTTGGTAGTTTCATTTTATTTTACATTTTCTACATAGTCAGCCATTTTTTTGGGAGTATTTATTCATTATCTACCAAAACACCAAGTCCAGTTTGTCCTCTTAGCTAAGGAGCGTTTCTACAATGAACAAGGTCACATGACCAGTGCACAGTCGTCAATAACTTTATGAGCTTTGTCAAAAAACAACAAAATACAGTATATTTATGGCAAGTTTATATGTTATAGTCATGAAAACACTTCAGTAAAACAAATATCCTGATGAGCTAAWRGCTAGTCTGAGTGGGATGAGGATCAATGAGGATTGCTGTTATATTAAAATAACTCCTGTCTTTWATATTTAATGGCAGTTCATGCAAATGTTTAATTTATAAACCTTTACAACCCTTTAAGCTTTACATTATGTTATTTCAGCAGATATGCAGGGGTTAGACAATGGAATGGAAACACCTGGTTTTAGACCATAACATCCCTTTCAGACAGCTTCCTCTTGCGTCCACAGTTAATCCTGCTGGATGTGGTTCGTCCTTCTTGGTGGTGTGCTGACATTACCCTGGATACTGTGGCTCTTGATRCATCACAAAGACTTGCTGTCTTGGTCACAGATGCACCAGCAAGACTTGCACCAACAATTTGTCCTCTTTTGAACTCTGGTATGTCACCCATAAAGTCGTRTGCATTGTAATATTTTGAGCAGAACTRTGYTCTTACTCTGTTAATTGAACCTTCACACTCTGCTCTTACTGAWGCAATGTGCARTTAATGAAGACTGGTCACCAGGCTGGTCCAATTTAGCCATGAAACCTCCCACACTAAAATGACAGSTRTTTCAGTTTCATTGTCCAACATTTCTTCAAGAAGTGCTACAGCTAGCTGCTACTGCTGTTATTTAAGCTTGGAAATATGCATAGAATGAATGTGTATTTCAAAATAAACAGGGGTTAAGGTTTGTAAAATAACATTTGTGTTAGGCTACATACTCTGCCTGGCCAAAAAAAATGTCTCCACCTGGATGTAACTAAGGTCTATGATGTGGRGTTGCTGCAGGTGGTCAGGTCCAGGTTCAGCCACAGTCTGTGCTCAAAGAATGAGGTCAGCTGACTACCTGAATATACTGAATGAGCAGGTTATTCCGTCAATGTATTGTTTCTTCCCTGATGGCACGGCCATATTCCAAGATGACAATGCCAGGATTCATGGGGCTTTTATTGTGAAAGAGTGGTTCAGGGAGCATGAGACATCATTTCCACACATGGATTGGCTCCACAGAGTCCACTGAGAATCTTTGGGATCTGCTGGAGAAGGTCAGACTCTACCATCATCAATGTAAGATCTTGGTGAAAAATTAATGCAACACTGGATGAAATAAATCTACCAACATTGCAGAAGCTTATCCAAACAATGCCACAGTGAATGTGTGCCGTAATCAAAGCTAAAGGTGGTTCATTAGTGTGTGACCTTGTTGTTGGTGGCAACTTTTTTTTTTTAGCCAGGCAGCATATTTAGCTCACACAAAAGTAGTGGGTAGTAAAAATCTAAACGTTGCCCTTCACTACACATAATCTGGACTTTGTGAACCTTCTTCACACTGAGCCACATTTTAGAAGGTTTCAAGCTCGATGTGATGAAGTAAAAATGAAAAATAAACAGCAAAAGATATTAACATAAAATAGAAACTAATTTCACAGACTCTGCATTTCTTATTAACTGTGCAATTTTTTTTGAGTTGCACACTTTCTACAGCGTATAMTTCACAAACTGCATTCCAAGCTATTAAATAGGCACGGGTTTATTTTATTTTGTTCATTTACATCTGATTTTGATAGTTTCCTATAAATAGTGTAAGGATGGCTGCTCCGGTGTGGCTGGAGGACTTGGTTATGCATTTCTATCAGGGCCATTTCGTTTAAGTTTTTACCTCAACCAGGAGCTGATATGTCTGTTATTTTATTAAATTTTTCTGTTTGTGATTTCACAACCGATGGCACGGAATAAAACACACTTTAGTTTCTTCATGTCTGCAATGAGTCCCAGTTTAAGAGCTCGTCAAACTGTGCTGAACCTGGCTGCCATTTTGACCACAAAATAAAATAACTTGTGGTGCAAACAATGCTTTTATTAGCAAATGATTCSATCCTGCAGTCATTCATGATTAGAGAGGAGTATGGAACAATGACAGCATGAGCAAACAGGCTTCAAAACGAGATTAACATAAAGTCTATCTTAACACACATCTGTCTGCTGTGACGACTGAAGCAAGTTTTCAGAGGGGGTCAGACAGGGGWCACAGGCGATCTTGGGGTGTCACACCAAAACCTAAAGCCATGACAGAATTTCAGGAGTTTTAATAAATTGTCATATATAGGCTGTTTGAAAAATACAGATTTTTGAACATTAGGGAATCTTTTCTCCGACAGAGACCTACTTCTGTTTCTTATTTTATTATTTATTGAAAACCCACTTTTTTCTATCCGGATCACAGGGAACTGGTTCTTATCTCCATCAGTCCCTGTGTGAGAGGCGGGAGACACCCTGGACAGGTCACAAGTTCATCAAGAGACAAATGACCATTCACACTCTCACTCACAACTGGGGATAATTTAGAGTTACCAAATAACCTAACTTGCAGGTTTTTAGTGTTGGGAAGAAACCGGAGTATCTGGAGAAAACCCACATGTGCACGCAGAGAACAAGCAAACTCCCAGAGGCCCCCAGCTGGGAGGTGATCCTGTAAATGTCTCACTGAGCAGCACTGTGCTGCAAAATATCATCTAATATGAATTTACACTGTTACAGGTTTGACCTGAGTTCTGTCAGACATGACAACCTGCATGGTCATATGACTGCCTGAGATGTGCCCTGTGTGTGTGTGTGTGTGTGTGTGTGTGTGTGTGTGTGTGTGTGTGTG